TATATATATACTTTTGTCACATTTAAAATGTACAGTTTTAGGGAGATTTTAAGCCCTTAGAAGTCCTCCTTATAGTAGATACAGTCCAGCTATGTGCAATTCAACCAGAGTTTATTAAAAGAAAAATCAAAAAAACAAAAAGGAGGGTAACCATTTGTAACAAAATGTATACCTCTACCATCAAATCCACTTTCTTGCTGCAAATGTCTCAAATGGATTTAGACCTGCTGTTTGTCTAATTTGAAAAGATGAATATGCATTGATGTAACACCCTTCCATAGGAGTTCTGGATATATATTTTCAAGGGCTAAACATCCCTCCCTTGGTTCCAGTGACAGAAGTACTTCTGTATTCTCCATGTTTTCAGTTCAATTCAACCATAACACTTCTAATATGAATTTACTTTCTTTTTCATCTCATTGTACTATTTTTATTATGTATTTCTGATTTGTTTGACATTACCTTTTGGATGGGAGCTGGATTGTCATTGTCGGCTAAACAGCTGACAGTCGCAAAATTCTAGGCAAAATTCTGGGCAGACAATTGCTATTTTTTTTTTTTTACAAAAGTTGTATTTCAGGTGGATGGTAAAAATGAAAAAGTTAACTACCGGTACCCCCTTGTCGCAGTTCGGAAGCCTTTGCTCTGTTTCCTTCCAGTATTGCCCTGTTAATCTCCCTATCAAGGAGTAACACTTCTTACAGGAAGACCCCACCAACTACCTCATTCTGAAGTAGGGGTGGTGTGTTTAGGGTGATGAGAAGAGTTAGTTTTCCTGCACATACAGTGCTTTTTATGAAGGTATACTGTTAAAAAAAAATTCGCTGGAGATATGTCTTCAAAATGTTATGTGTCCCATGAATTCTAGATTTAGGGAAAATTTTAGGTCCTATTTTCAAAACTGGCCTTTTTCCTTAATATTTATCCATAGAAGTAAGATTGGTGATGCGTACAACCAATAGTTGTCCTGAAAACAGACCCCCCCACCTCTGCTGTAGCTCTTTGCAGCTTTTCCGGGGTTACCATGGGACCCTTGATTACCTAACCCTGCTCTAAACCTCTTAACAACATATCCAGCAATACTCTGCTTAGAAGTCATCTTATTGACATCTATTCATTAATGTTCATCCTCAAAAATCCTGATTCACTCATAACAACTGTAAGGATACTGAGAATAGAGTAAACCATGTTGGACTCTATACGTATGCTAATCGGGTTACTTCAGATAGATAGACAAGTCTATCTGACTTGGGATTTTGGAGTGAGGGGATGGGTGGGGATATAACATTTACCTTATTTATTTATTTTTTTTTGTTATTTTTTGTATAAGAAAATCATGCTTTCACCTCAATTCTTCATAATACATTTATTTTATCAAGTTTCCTAATTTCTTTTATACCATTTATCTAAGATTGAGATACAATTTTACATCAAAGTTTTAACACCTTAACCAGAAAATTTGATGGATTACTTTGTAAATTCTAAATTATAAAAATAAAAGAAAAACATGTAAAAAAAAAAAAGAATGAAAATGAATGAGATAAAAAAAAGAATATCTTACCAGTAAGGGGCACCAGCATACTGTGGCAATGGTCATGATTAGTATGAGCTGCACCATCATTTCCACTTCATGGTCTCTGCGCCGCTGTCTCCTCTCTGCTCCACAGCATAACTTGATCAGGGTCACCACACTCACAGTGTTCAAGAAAAAGGATGTAGCAATGCTGATTAGTCCAACCAAAGAGAAGAGCAGTGCAAATGTCCAGTCACCTCTCTTGGAGGTGATGTTGATGAAACACCAGGAGCCAGGTGTTTGAATGTGGTAGCTACCAAAGCCTAGGATTGGCAGCATCGATATGCTTCCAGCAATAAACCACACCATTAGCACCATGGAGACAGTTCTTTTCTTTGACACTCGGGACGAACGTACAAATGGGAGGTTGATTCCAATAAAGCGTTCAATGGCCATGGTGGCACCAAGTAGCAAAGGGCACAATCCATAGAAGACCATAGACATTCCCATGAAGTTACAAAAGTGGCAGGTAGGATCTGACTTACTCCAATCAACATGTGTAACATAGAATGAGATCACAAAAGAGCCAGTGACCAGCAGACCCATGAAATCCGTGACCACAAGACCACCCAGGAAGATGAGAAAGAAAGAGCGTGATTGGTTTCGTGTCTCCTTGCAGGATTTGATCAGGACAATAAAGGCGATAAGATTTGAGATGAGGCCCAGAGTGGTGAAGGTGGCTGAGTAATAAACTTTACCCACAGCAGGGGCATATATATATGGAGTACTGGTGTTGGCATAACAGGATGAGACGTTGCTTGAGTCGGCCATGATGCTCAGGTGGAAATTCTGATCTTGAAATTTAGATTTGAAGACATGTAGTTTGGGAAAATCACTTCATCCAACCTAAAGAAATGAAAATAGAAGTTGCAATTCAATTGTCTATTTAAACATTGATTTGGAGATACAAATAAATGTTTTTAAAATGATATACAGTTTTGTTTTTCAAAAAGCTACCCAAATAACTTCTGAAACCAGTAAAAACATTGAAATAGACTACAGTAGTTGCATCAGGAGGTTTATACTTCGCAAGCAAAAATAGGCTATGGATCAAACACTGGTTGGGAAAGATTCTTCCAAAATTCAGCATTCTGTTATTAACATTTCATGTGTCAATATTTCTGTCAGCAGAAGGCAAATGTAAAAGAATAACACCAACATGATAACTTCAGGATTCTTAGATTAAGTTAAAGTATTTCTTGAAATCCCAGTTTTATAAATCACTTTGAATCTACCAGATTGTTTTCCACCTTGAAAACTCCATTCGAGTCCTAATTTATCCTGTTAAAAGTTTTTTTTTTTTATTATTATTGAGTGAGAGGCATGTATATAACAGAAAAAAAGGATAATGTCTAAGAGGAACCTATGTAGGCTTTTCCGAGCAGACCTGGAAGAAGAGTCTGGGGAAAAGAAAATCTTTGTTCTCTGCTGAGATATGCTGTTCGTGGAAGATGACAAGGACGAGCGCAATATAAGCCCCTTTTACACTACCCTTTCGAAACCTAACCGAGAACGGTCCGTGCCAGACAGAACTGAACCCAGTTGTGGCTTGGTTCTCTGACAAAGAGCGCATAAGCAGGCAGCGTCATCTCCTATT